CACAGACTCGCCAAAAGATGGGACACCCTCTGATCTGCAGGAACTTTTCTGTTCCCACCGCACCTCCACCCACTCTTTGACATTCCCACGGTATTTCCTTTAGAAATGCACCTGTTGGACTTTTTCAGATATATGACTTTTGGCCAGTGGGCCTGGGCAGGAAAGATAAGTGCTAAAGCCTTACCAGTGATTTACCTGTGTGCCAACCTCCACACCCTTACACACTCACACACACACTTCAAACTCCTCCAAGCAGAGATGCCTTGTGCTTGACGCACAGTGACACTTCAAGAAAGGTGTCTTGTATAGAATACCTGCTAAAAGACAGGCATTGTGCCAAGTATTTATGTATATATTTTTAATTGATTTCAGAGAAGAAGGGAGATAGAAACATCAATGATGAGAGATAATCATTGATCTGCTGCCTCCTGCACGCCCTCTACTGCGGATCGAGCTGCTACTTTCTGCACGCCCCACACTGGGAATCCAGCCCACAACCCAGGCACGTGCTGTGACCAGGAATCAACGGTGACCTCCTGGTTCATAGGTCGACACTCAACCACTGAGCCACACCAGCTGGGTGCTAAGTATTTTTTACATCTAAGCCTATGCTATTATCTCCCATTTTACAAATAAAGACACTTTAGTTCCAATAATTAAATCTGTCTAAGGTGAGACTACTGAGAAATGGCCTATCTAGGGGGTTCTGGTTACAAAGTCCTTAAGGTCTACTCTCAGTTGCATCCAATTGAACCTCCTGCCCCCACCTCTAAGTATCACTGTACAGGACAGGGGCAAGGATAGATTAGAATAATGAGAGAAGAAATCTGCAGAAGTTTTGAGTGGAAAGGAGACTCTAATGCTGCTTCTCTCCTCTTTTCTATTCTCTTGCTGACTGAAGTTGCAAGTGATCGCTTAGGACTAGTTCTAGACTTGGAGAAGAGAGAATGGAGCCTTGTTATTTCTGTGGGCCCCAGCCCTTCTGACCAGAGTAAGTAGTAGGTCAACGAGGAGAAGTATTATGCAGAAATTTAGTCACACTATCTCTGACATTGTATCACTTGGAAATCTAAATGTAGGGACACTACCTCAATAGGATGGATATAACCCAGGATTGGGACTGGAGAGGGAAGGGAAGATGACTGCTTACAACCCAAGGCTCTCTCCTCAAAACATTTAGCTTTCTTAGAAACCATCAGCTTGGATTGGATCTAATCAGAGCCAACCCAGCTCTTTGAGCTGAAAGAATCATGACATAATTCTTTTCCTTCATCTTTCTTTGTTACCAGGGTTTAAGAATTTGGTCATTATAAAGAGGTGGATGTGGGACTTGGATGAGCTAGTTAAATCAATGCTCTTCACATTTTTTAGCAGTAGTAGCTTTTTTTTTTTCAACAAAATTTTTAATGGAGCCAAAATATTTAAAACAAATGATATAAGTATTAACTTAAATGTTTATAAGATCTTATAAAAACAAATCGGTGAGTATAGGCCACCTTAATTAAATTAGGTAGAGCATAAGTATGGTCTTCAGCTATACACATATCCATGAAATATGAATTGGACATTTGCACAACTCTCAGAATCACCTCCTAGAATACAGAAAACACTGAGTCACGTTAACCCAGGACCTGGACCTTTGGTCAAAAGAATGAGAAAGGGCCTAGTCTCAAGAAAAAGAAAAAAACCTGTTCGAAGTATATCTGCCCTTTCCTTGTTACCTGGTAGGCAGTTTGCTATGTCAGTTACTCAAACGTTTATAAAGCAGTTTGTGAAATAACCAAGACCCTTTGTTGTATTACCAATGCTCTTGTCAACCAATGACCTCCTCAAATAAGGCCTCCCTTTCCTATTCAGTGGTAAGCAGTTCACAATGTAACCAGCTTACATAATGGGAAAGTATTTATTTTGATAGACACTTGACCTTGACCAATGTTTATTTTTTTAATATATTTTATTGATTTTTTTACAGAGAGGAAGTAAGAGGGATAGAGAGTTAGAAACATCGATGTTAGAGAAACATCAAGCATCTGCCTCCTGCACACCCCCTACTGGGGATGTGCCTGCAACCAAGGTACATGCCCTTGACCAGAATCGAACCTGGGGCCCTTCAGTCCGCAGGCCGACGCTCTCTCTATCCACTGAGCCAAACCAGTTAGGGCCAATGTTTATTTATTGATAAAACATTTGAAAGTGTGCTGAGCCAGACACCTTGGGTACACAAAAATGGGTAAGATATGGTCTAGCAGTGGTTCTCAACCTTCCTAATGCTGCGACCCTTTAATACAGTTCCTCATGTTGTGGTGACCCCTAACCATAGAAGTATTTTCATTGCTACTTCATAACTGTAATTTTGCTACTGTTATGAATCGTAATGTAAATATCCAGTATGCAGGATGTATTTTCATTGTTCGCGACCCACAGGTTGAGAACCGCTGCGAGAAACTCATAGTGCAATAAACAGTCAAAAGAACAGATTGAGAATATGGACAGTAAAGTGAGTGATTACAGTCATTTAGTGCTAAATTCAGAAGAATGCCAAGCCTGATATCTATAAATATATACCTTTTTCACCTATAAGAGTTTTATCCCATAAATTAAAGAATTGTACCCAGAGACTATCAGATTGAAAATCCCCACAAGCATTTAAAAATGGCTAGTAGATTTAAACACCAATGACAAATCTTTTGGACCAAAGTAACTGCTAAGAACATTGTATTGAGAAGGATTCTAAGGTCATGTTTTAACTTAATAAGGAAAAACTCTACCATGAGGAAAGGAGAAGGAGAAGATAACACTTACGCCACATATTTCCTATCCATGAGTAAAACCTTGGTTTAAATAAGGAAACAGAGGACAGCCATAATCTCTGGATACCTGGGCAAAGGCCCACTTAGACAATGATTTATCTACCTCACCACTGAGAATACACCACCTGCCCCAGGTTAAACAGTCTTAAGAAGTGTAATCTCTTTTGCCAAACTATCTTCTTTATCCCTCTTTGCTCACCATAGATAGGAAGGATAAATGCATATGTAATCTCTGAGAACTAGGATGTACTTTTGATAAGGTAAATTCCAGCATCTCACCAGGTCAGACATAGGTCAGGCTGGGAGAAGCTGCTACTTCCCTACCCATTGTCTATTCTTCCATCTCCCTTAGTACGGGTTCTCCATTTTGTGAGGAACAGCAATATGCCTGCCTTAAAGAGGACAGCTAGCCACATGGCTAAATCAGGCCAATGAGATATGAGTGGAATATTCTAGGAAAGCTCTCTGAAGAGGCTTCCTCTTTTCTGCTTTCTGGAATGTGGACATAATGGCTGGAATTCAAGCATGCATGTTTGAGTACCAGGTGACCTTGAAGATGGAAGCCATGAACTAAGACAATGTCACTGTACTCTCTTTCACCTGAGAGAAATAAACTATTGTATAAGCTAGGACAAGAACAAGTAACATTGTCTCAGGAAGTGCTTGCCAGTGCTTAGATGGCTGATGAATTTCTTTTGGGCTACCACTTCAGCTAAATGCAGTCATCTATAGGAACTCGTTAATACACAAAGTGAGATCTACGGGATATTACCTGTTCTCGCCCTGGCTGATCCCCTGCTCAGTCAGGGCATGTGTGGGAGGCAGCAATCTCTGTGTCTCTCTCACATTGATATTTCTCTCTCCTCCTTCCCTGCCTTCCAATCACTCTGAAAATTAATGGGGAAAAACTATCCTTGGGTGAGGAGTAACAAAAATAAAATGTTATCTGTTCTCTAATAACATAGTACCAGTTAGTATATCTGATTAGCCAGAGTGATCACCTCTCAAGGCACTAAATGAATAGTAGAACATTGGACAGCATCTTCACTCATAAAGGGTGTCCCAAAATTCACGCAAGAAGTAATTTTGATAGAAAACATAGGTTTATAATTAAAAATTGTAAATTTTTTTTGATTCATAAAGTATACAGTATAGGGTTATGTATGGAATAGCATATCGGGTAAATGGCCTCCACAGCTTTGCTGGCACATACACACTCTTTGTTGAAATTTTCCATGACCGTTTTGCATAAATGTGGCTGAATTTCGATGAGGCTCATTTTCATCTTGATGGCTTGGTTAATCAACAAAATTGTCGCATTTGGGGTTCAGAAAATCCACGAGTGATTGTTGAATCGCGACATGATAATCCAGTTTACCCGATATGCTATTCCATACATAACCCTATACTGTATACTTTATGAATCAATAAAAATTTACAATTTTTAATTATAAACCTGTGTTTTCTATCAAAATTACTTCTTGCGTGAATTTTGGGACACCCTTTTAAAACAGGGGCCAGAGAAAAAGAGCAATGAGAGAACAAGACCTGCTCCAAGAGGGGATCCAGCCAGAAGCCACCATGGAAGGCCTAGCATACACAGGGGAAAACAAGGGGCACGTGCAAAGGGAATCAGGTGAAAAACAGTAAAACCAATGTAGGGAAGACTCATTGTACCTGCTTCCAAAATGTATAGTTCACAACTTTGTCTTGGGGCACTTCTGTATATAAAGTGCTAAACAGAAAAGAGGAACAGGATTTAAGTCACCTATCTACAATACTCTAAAGATATGAATGGAGTAGGAAAAAATAGGACTTCTCAGGAAATAAAAGTACTCCCACCTTGCTAATACGTTTTTCCACTTATAAATTGGTATAACTGATTTTAAAATATTTGAAATAAATATTAATATTCATAGAGGCTAAGTTATTTGGGCAAAATCTGTTAAAATTTGCCATTTATAATACTGAAAAATTGAATGCAAATTAAATGCCTATGAAGCAATAAGTAGTTAAGTAAATTCTGCTCATGCAATGGAATTCTGTGAAGTCATAAGAATTGCTGGGGTCCAACCCCAGCAGGTCCAGGGGTCCCCAAAGATGTGGACGGAGTTGGCGAAGAAGGAATGACACGGAGACAGTGTTCAGTTGATCAGCAGCCTTGCCAGGATCTCTAGCCACAATATCCAGCCAAGTTCTGTGTCCGTGTTCTCTTGCTAGGTTCTCCAGCCAGGTTCTCCAGCCAGGTTCGGTTTAGGTTCTCCAGCCAGGTTCAGTCGCCAGGTTCTGTAGCCGGGTTCCTCAGCCAGGTTCTGTCTAGGTTCTCCAACCAAGTTCTGTAGCCAGGTTCTGTACAGGATCTTTTGCCATGTTCTCTCCAGTGAAGTTCTTCTGTCTCTAGGTTCTGTGTAGGTTCTGTCTTCTAAGTTCTGTCTTCTAA